ATCAATGAGCCTGTAAAAAGAGGGGTAAGGTAAAGTCTTGTCAATAATACTACTGGTAGATGAAGAGGTCCTAAGAAAAAGAATTGAATTAGGAGATATCACTAAAAGAAAAAAATGTAAGAAATCTGATATCTTATATTTCAGTGCCTACTGTTTGATGTTGTAGTAGTCCTAATAGTGCATTGGTGACTGTCTTCATGACAGTCAAGATTTTTTTGTCAAGTTGATTTTTATTTACTGACAGTCACAACTGATCTATAAGTAGTTCTGAATTCTGGGAACCTAGAGGAAAATCTGGCAGGTAATAGTAGCTTTCTGGAATCACATATTTAGATATGGGGGAGGCTGTGGCAGCAGCTCTCTGGCCACAGAGCATTGTCCTGGGGAAGGCTGTGAGAAGATCAGAGAAAAGAATGGTAAACAATTCTTATTTTCACTTGCTGCACCTGTTGGTGTGAACATGTGGAATGTGTTATGGAGATTTGTTTACCAAAGGGTGGTTTCTTAATTGGCCAATGGTGATGGTGTTTAGATTCAAGGACCAGTTGGGTCCGCCTGTATCGTGCCTGTCTGTAAGGGTGATGGGTTTCTTAATAAGTACAGGATAAAAAAGTGGTTGATCAGCCTTCTGAGAAGTATAGAGTCAATACTATTACCTGGCTAGGGGCCTGCAATGACAGGAGGTAAACTTAATTGTTACTTTACCAAACCATCGATACTAATTTTTTGAGAGTGGTTATTGCATTCTTTTCTAAATCAAATTAATATGAAAATCACTGTTATTCAGCTGTAGTTTTGGAAGTGATTTGATCTAAAGAGGGGTCTTCTTTACTGGGAGTTCTTTCTGTGGGGTAGGAGATTAAATTACTTTTTTTGAAGAGCTACATTGTTTTTAAATTGTAGGACATTTAAAAAATAAAATTAAAACCAGGATACATTTTACAACAGATTATGACCTGCCACTACTTGAAGAAAATACTAGTTTGCCTTCAGACTTACAGAACTTCTCATTTTGGAAATCCATAGGCTAACAATCTATTTCTCTTCAGTATGGTCTCATTTAAAACCCTGCTAAAGAAAGCAAAGGAAAAAAAATCACATGGACAAATTTAGAAGTTCACAAATGCCAAGTGGGAAGGCTTCACAACTGTTGTAAATTGGATGTTTGCACATTAGAGTGTGAATGCTGATTTTAACCTTTCAGTCGGGAATTTTGTATGCTCTGTAATTGACAGGTGAGAGCTATATTCCCTTATTAGCTTCCCACCTCTGTTACTTCCTAGGCACAAGACTAGACAGGGGTGAGAAACAGAACATCAGTAATAGAAACCAGGAGCTGGAAGTAGGATGAATGTTGGTGAAAATTGGAGCTATTGCTAAATCCTGTTTGCTTTGATACATGTAACAGCTCACTTGGAAGTCAAACTGTTCCATGCATGTTTAGGGATTTTGCCTCGCTGTGATGCTTTTGAGTTTATGTGTTTTGTTCAGTTGATGCCTGTGATATTTGTGCCAATATTTGGTGCATTAAGAACATTTCTGGCACCTTACAGACTGTCATTGTATGTGCAATACTCCATGGAGCAAATGTGCTTTAGGTTGCTATTATCTTGTCGTTTGCCCTGTCTCTAAGGAAGTACCTGTGGGGGGTGTACTGCAGAGCAGAGGCTCAGCCACTTGATGTGTATGTAGAGAGGATCAGCTAACAGTTCTGTATCTCTCCAGAAACCATCCACTCAACAATGCTTAAAATACTAGTTTTTATAAATTTTCAGAGGGTTAAAAAAAAAATTTAATTTTGGAGCAAGAGAATAAAGCACTGTATGGGGATTGTGTTTATATAAATGTCCTATGCAAAAGTATCCCTTGGTTGTGCTTCAAAGGGATGTGTCTGTAGTACAATTGGTGGCTGTGATGAAAAGCTTTTGTCTATGTTTTCTTCCCTTAAAACACCATTGATCACTGATATTTCTGCCATACCAATACAATTTCACTCTCCTGTTTAAAATAAATAGCTTGCATTTCAATTAGGGTATATGTTATTTTTTAAATATGTGCAGTATTGATTTAAAGTTTTCTAAGCTGTGAGAAATAGACTACCTGCTCTGCTTGATTGCTTCCACCTTGCATTTATTGCTGAACATTTTTTAATTTATTTATGGTAAGAGTTTGCAACGATGTGAAGGAGCAAGGCTGTGCTTGTATGCAGACCAAGTGCTTATTCTGGCCTATTCCAATGAATTATTTCCACTCACTGGAAACTGTCCTGTTGCTATCCATACTACTAATTTTATTGACAGTTATAGTCAAATATGAGTATTAAGTAAAGTATTAGAATTCTTGATAGCTAAAACCAGGTTTGGAATTTTTTACATTTATCTGTAGCATCTATGTTTTCTAAATCCAGCTAGAACAGTACCCTAAGAAGAGACTTGCTTACCAGTTTGCAGCTACACATTGCTCTTTCCTACAATCAAAGAAGAAAACAAGGGAGACAAGGTTTATACATTTTTCAAAGTTTGTAGATTTTTGGTGTTGAGTTAGCTGTTTTAGCAAATGGATTTATTGCTGAGGTCTGCTAAGTAGAGGGGAGATTTGCAATTATAAAATTCATTAATAAAAAGAGTGTTATAATATTTGATTTGTGTTGAGACAAATAAAACAAAGGCTGTCTCTGACAAATCTAGGCATTCATTTTAAACATTTATTTGAAACACATTTTGTGTTTTAAACATCATGAGTTACAGATAAATAATGGCCAGTTTTACTGAAAAGATAATTTTATATTGTTATTTTTCATTTCCCCTTTAAAAAACTTTTGAGATAAAGACACTGGTTTCCTCAATTATCACTGTGGTTGCTTTCCATGAGGAGGTTGGAGGAGACATTAGAGAAATGCAGCATGTTTAGATTAAATATTTAATGCTTTAAAAATGTTTGATTTGTCAGTAGTGAAAAAACAGTGTTGAGCATAATTTTTAGTCATTATGTATTATGTTAGTATAGGAGATATGTTGATACATTGGTAGTGTAGGATTTATGACAAGACTGTAGGTAAAATGTTCTGTTTGCTGTTTTGTTGCCAAACTTGACAAGAAGCAAATATAAACTATCAAATATCAATGTAGGTGGGAATTTTTTCTCCCATAAAATCCAACATGTAGTTGTTTGTGGATCTGCTGATCTTGGAATTACTGCTTTAGCTGAAGAGTTAAGAGATCCACTCAAGGGTCTTGGGTTCAGTGTAATAGGTGGGGATGGAAATGAAAAATTCCCAAAGGCTCAAGCTGCTCAATCAGAGCTTCCCTGGCAATGGGGGAAGTGCTTGTCAGCTCAGTACAGGTAACTTTCAGTTTGTTATACAGGCAATGATGAAGTTGTCATGGGAAGAACAAGGTGAGAGTCTGGGCTTAGTTAGCACAGGTAGCTGTTGTTTCAAATGAAGCTCTGAGACAAGTGCCTCAAGGACAGCAGACCCCTTGTGAAGGACTGAGAGCTTTCGGGGGTTGTGTGCAGCAGGCAATTGTTAGGTACTGTTTGCAGAGATGCTGGGGGAGAGAAGCTCAGGATTGCCTTTGGTTATTACCCTATTGAGATGAGTGTCTTCACCACATGACAAATACCTGTTTCACAGTCATAAACTGTCAGGCTTTGTCTGAGGCCCAGGACTACTACCTATTTCATCAGCTACACCAGCCTCTTCTTTCTTCCAATACTTGTCCTTCCCAGCAGACTTACCAGGTTTCACACTTGTGAGATGCATTGCCAATGAGAGGTACTAGTAGAAACATTTTGAATTTTTGTAGTATGTTAGGTAGGTCTATCACTGCATGTGTTGTAATCTGTGAAAACAATGTATTTTTGGAATGATTTGCATTTTCTTGATGCTGGTGAATGCACATGAATACTTAGATGTAAATTAAAGAGAGCAATTTGCATTTAGAGGGAAAAAAGTAGGAACACTTGCTTCTGCAGTGTTTTGCAGTGATTTAAACACATCCCGGTTCACCAAATGTGAGGTTGTATTCTGTGTTGAAAGGTGTGTGATAATGCATTGCTTCATAAACTGTCTCACAGATTACTTTGACCATTAAGAGAAATTGATCCTTACACTGATTTTTCCATATCACAACCTTTGTGTTCTTCAGAAAGTTTGCTGTAGTCAGAAATATCTAATTCCTTTAAACTGATACTGTGTTGTTCTAAAAGTATTTGAGCCACTACTCTTTTCCCACCTCTCAAACTGACTGTGGTGTTACTTAAGAGAAATGAAATGGCTTTTAGCATTGGAGTACATGTGCTGAGAGACTTAGCCAAGAGAACAAATTTGGAGTTTGAGGTTTAGGTCTCTTCGGTTTTTTTTTTTTTTTTTTTCTTTTAATTAGTGAAGAAAATGAAAGCATACTCTTTAAAACTTCTGTGACATTTACTGTAATTTCAGTTATTACAGTAACTAGCTGCTTTACATGCACTTAATAAATTATTTATAAGTTGCTTGAATAAATTTTTGCTCTTAATTACTTGTTTTGGTTATTGCTCATGTTAAACATTTTTGCTAACCCGTGAGTAACTATGAACTTAAATACATAGCAGCTCTCACTGTTTCTGATTAAGTATGTTGATCAGTGCATGATTAATGACACTCCTGTTAAATGTATGGGTAGGTGTGTACCTGTGCATCCACGTGTTTGAGATTTCCTGTGCCTTCAGGTGGACAAGTAGTGAGTAGTGGCATCACCTGAAATTTGTGCAGTTTATTTCTGCATAAGCTGTGATAGTGTTTTTCACTTTCCATTGAGTTGACTTAACTTTGAATTAGGTGGAACCTCGGTGAAAATCAGACCTTATATATGAATGTTCAAATTCCACCCAACGCCAAAAAGCATTTTTAGTTAATCAAAAGAACTGTGCTCTGTTCTTAAATTTCCACCTCTTTGTTTCCTATTTTATTTTGCTTGTTTTATTTTGTTTTGTTTTAATTTTATTTCTATTTTTTTTAGTGAGTGACAGTTGCTTCAGGAACCTTGCCGAGGATCGTAGTGGGATAAACCTTAAAGATCTGGTCCAAGACCCTTCTTTGTGAGTATCTGGCTCTTATTGCTAAGCAAAGAAAAGCTTCTTCCTGATGCCCTTGTGAGTAGTTTTGTAATTATATAAAGAAGTAGTATGATGAAGTACACATAAAGCTTTAGTGGTTTATGTTTGCAAATTGTTTAATACAAGCAAGAATTATTAAAACCACCTTGCTTCTAATATAATTCTGAAGTAACATCCAGAGAGCACATACAGTAAAGGGTTTAAGAGTCATCAGAGGTAACAGATTGTGCATGCTGGTATTTCTACAGGGGACTTGTATGTGCATTGTTGCCCCTGTTTTTTTTAAAGAGGAATTGCATATAAATTAGAATATTACTGAATAATTATGTTATTGTCAATTACCTTAACATCTAGAATCTGTTTTCTTTGTATCTGATTTCATACAGCTGATGTGTTTCTTTCTCTACTACCTGTTTCAATTTAAGTATATGTGCCCATGGTCTAAATTTTGCTTCACCACAAGACTGCTGGTCTTTATCTCAGTATTGTATCTTTCTCTAAAATAAAATGTAATCTCATGAGCTCTGAGCCAGACTCAAAATTGTATCAGACCTTCTTCGTAATTCAGTTTTTTGTTTGTGTTTTTTGGGTTTGTGGGTTTTTTTTCTCATCCATTAACTTTAGTACTAGCTGAAAATGTTCTTGCTAGTGTGTGAATGTACCACTTGTTATGAGGGAAGGGTAAAAGAGAAAAAAAAAATCACATCTTTTTAACATAAATGACAGTGGATTCCACATTGAGCTCTAATGTGATGGTCCTTGATGCTGAAAGAGCAGATTTTTCCATATTGATTGAGAAGTAGTGAAAAATAAGGTGTATTTGGCATCTTATTTCAGTTACAGGGGTTTATAGTAATTAGGTAGATGCAGAATTTGACATGTTCCTACAGGTAAATGACATATGTACATGCATTCTTGAGCAATTTTGACATAGTGTGTGTAACTGATGATTTATGCATCTAAAATGATAGAGGTACAAGGGGCAAGTGTAGTTGTTGCTTGATATGTACAGAGTGAATGCAATGGATAAGTTTTAATAGTTACTGTTTAAGTGTTAAAGTCAGGGCTATTTTAAAGGTCTTAATTTGCAAAATTTTTCTGTTGAGTGGTATTTTTTTTTGTATTTTTGATTGGTTGGTTGGCTTTGTTGATTCTTTTTTGTTTGTTTGCTTTAGAATTGTATGTGGGTTTTGGAGCTGCAGGTAGGCTTACATGCTACAGATAGTTTTGGGCTTGCAGCTCTTGAGTTTATTCTCAGAAGGTTAAATTGCCTTTGTTGTATAGTGATTATTTTCTGTATTTTTTACCAGAAGTTATATAATCTTTTCATTTTCTTCCTTGACTGTAACTCACATGAAGAATATTGTAATAAAGTATTGTAATGTTCCAAAGAAATTAAATGGCTTTCTGTTTCTTATAGCGTAAGAAGCACAAGTGACTGCAACATAGCCATTTTTGTGACTTTGAAAGACTGAATAGACTCTCAATACATGTTAGGTTTCAAGGGCTGCTTATGATACTTAACTATATGACAGATTACAGTGCAAGAAAATTTTCCTCTTCCTGACAAATGATAGGAATGTATAAACTTGGGTTTGTCTTTCCAAATTGATATTCTTGCTGTTTTATCACTGAGCACCTATGAAGAGTTCTTGCAAAATGTGTAACAGTGGGAGTGAATCTCCAAAATGAAGAAATCATCTAAAGCAGTATTGCTCAACCTTGCCTTCTATAGGCGACTCTTAAGGTCCCATGGGATCTGAATTCTTTGTTATGCAAAGGACAGCATTGGGATGAAGCATGGGAGTGCCAAGCAAAGATTAAATCTTGGTTTTAGTCTTTTTTTTGAAATAAAGAAAAAATTTTAAAATCTTATGCCTATTTGGCTATGATTGATGCCTGTAATAATACCTGCAATCGTAAAATAGCATTTGATTAATCCTCTTACCCATTTAATATTTACACTTTAGGACTACTTTAGTGCTCGTTTGTGCTGATTGTGCATGCACTGCTTCTTTTTCTTTGTAATCTCAGATGCAAGCATTAGACTTACATAAAAAATTCTCATGCTTTCTCTGCAAATGGCTCTGTCCCTCTTAGTTTGCCACTCTGGCTCTGCAACAGACAACTTATCTTTTGTTACTGCAGAAGGCCTTCTTTTTTAGACAGCTGAAAGTGTGTCTTTACATGGAAATGAAACTCTATAAAATAGACAGCATTGTTGGTTTTTTCCATTAATGTTTGATTTATATCAAGTGTGCCTAATTGTCAGAGTAGCCTTTTTTCCCCAAGTGATTTCCCAGCTGGAGCAGGACTGTAAACTTAATCTGCTTTCAATTCTCTCAGCAATTCTCTCAGCAAAAGCTCTGCTGCTGAAATCAGTAGTTTGATCACCCATACTTGTATGTGATTAACTCACAATTTACTGTGTATCAATAAAAACGAAAATTCTGCTAAAGGAAAAAAAACCTGAAACACCAAGCATATCAAATAAACCTGAAGTGAGGAGCTGAAGATTGTGGGAAAGGGAAGCATGCAACAACTTTAAAATTAAATTTCATTTAGTGGTTAATTAGAGAAAATTTAATTTCTGCAAAAAGTTGATCGTTGTTCAACTGTAAAGGTGGTTTGAGAGTTAAGTGCTGTTTTTTATTCATTGCAGATAATCACAGAATAGTGTGGGTTGGAAGGGTCCTTTAAAGGTCACCTCCTACAGTGAGCAGGGATGTCTTCAGCTTCGATTGGGTTCCCTGGAGCTCAAGGATATGTCTGCTATATACAGTGTTCTATTTTGGACACCAAACTCAGAGATCCAGAGGTGTGTAGAAGAAAAGAAAGAGGAGAAGACAGAAAATGCAATGTATGGCAGGTTATTTAATTGAGGAAACAGTGTCAAGAGAGGAAGTATGAGTTCTACAGTATATAAAAGATTATTGAAGGGTTTGTTCTGTTTGCCTGGCAAGAAAGAATTAGTTCAGTTTATAGTAGACAACATGGATTGGATATTTGAAAAAATTCTAAATGTCAGTTGGTGAAGAACCTGGGCTCTATAGCTAAGGATGTCAAGGAGAGTTCTGCAGATTATAGTGTACATATTTCATCCAGTGTAAGTGTAGAGAGCTGGAAGGGCAAACCTTTTTTTTTGTATTTCCTTATCTTTTATGAAAATGTATGCATTTTGGTTTGTCTTCTGTGTAATTAATATGACCAAAAACCAGATGAAACTTAATTTGGTTCCTGTAAAGGTAACTTACTGTGGCTATGAATATTCAAATCCCATGATTTGGTTTAGATGATGCCCTACCTACCATTCCAGTTACTCACAAAAGATATTTAAAGTGTTTCATCCTACAGAGGAGGTTATTCTCCATGAGAAGACTAGAGGTGTTTATCCTTTCATTGTCCTAAACAGCACACCTGCAGAGAGCAGGTGCAATTGGAGGAAGTAGGCTGCCGGTTCTTACATGATGGTTCAGACTTTATTCAGCTGAAGTAAAATGCAGTGAAACAACTGAAGACGCTAGCAAAGTCCTGCTTTTGTGGGGAGATCTTTGAGGCTCTCTAGCAAGGCAAAAGGCTGGTGATCAAGGAGCATTAAAGATACTGATCAGTTCATTTGACCCCTTGCTCGTGAGCAGACTGAATGGTGTGCACTCCTCTGTCTTCTTTTCCACCCTCAATAGCTAATCTGTGCTCAGGAGAGAAATGGGATAGATACAATGCAATTTGTCTATCACCTGAAACTTCTCCTGAGATTTTTACTACTGCTTTTCTTTTCGCACTAGAAGTTACTTAAATACATCTGAAGAGTGAACCATCAGATCATTAGAATGTTAGGTATATAGGTCCACCTACTTAAAGCAGAAGTTCTATGTATAGAGATTCCGAAGTTTTAGTTGTTAGCATCACTTGATAAGATGTTCCTTTCGGCTCTAGCCTGTATCTATTTACATATATACATCTATATCTATACACAAAGTTCATAAAATACTTGTCTAAACAGAAAAGAGGATGCTTTTAATCTTTCTGTGCAATTCAGTAGCTGCAGCTGCAGATAATCACTGATGCATTTGTTTTGGAAACATCTTCAGAGCTTCTTTGAGATGAACAATATCCAAGAGATTCTTAATCACTTCTTTCTAGGCAAAATCACATCACATCTAACTGTGTTGCATGTCTCCTTCAGACTGATTATGAGAGTAGATAAATATAAAATGTAAGAACAGGTAACTTTTGATAGGAAATTAGAACTTGTTTTAATGAGTGTGTACTACAGAGAAGAAAACATTGTGAGAAGAAAATGTTATTTACCCTCCATGTAATTGCATTAGAAAGACAAGAAAAATGCTAATAGACCTATTAGTAAGAATCTTGTGGATTATTTCTGAGTTCCATTTTTCCGTAACAGGAGATAGAAATCTCACAGAAGTCATCGTTATCCCTTATTGTATTTTACAGCCTTAGAAGGAGGAGCTAGGTAAATCTTCTGGGAAGAAGTTGTGAGATCCTTAGAATTTGTCACTTAAGGACTGAAGATGATAAAGGAATTCTTGAGGAGCTCTATTTTTTTTTCTAATCTTACTGAGCAGGATGAAACAAATACCTGGAGGGAACAGCAGTGGATATTGTCTGCTTTGAGTTCAGCAAGGCTTTTGGCACTGTCTCTTACACCATCCTCATAGGCAAAGTCAGGAAATGTGGGCTGGATAAGTGGACACTGAGGTGAATTCGGAACTAGCTGAACAGCAGATCCCAGAGGGTTATGATCAGTGGCACAGGGACTAGGTGAAGGCTATCACTGGTGGTGTCTTTTAAGGGTCAGTGCTGGGCCCATAATTCTTTACCTTAATTCATTGATTTATTGGATGAAGGGGAGATCCCTCCTCAGCAAGTCCACTGAGCACACAAAGCCTTACTGATTCTGTGATTGAAGACTTGATAAATACACTGTTAAATCTGTGGATGTAAAACTTCAGTTTCCA